GGATGCTTAACATAGTACCAAAGTTGAGGTTGAAAAAAGAATGATGTTTTAATTTATATATTTTCTTAGCTTCAATTATTATGTGACGTGGACAGGTTGGTGAGGATGAATTTGGATACATGCTTGCTAACATATTAAAGGAAAATAATGTCAACTGTGAAGGGATGCGTTTTGATCCTGGTGCACGAACTGCTTTAGCATTTGTAACACTAAGGACTGATGGGGAACGTGAGTTCATGTTTTATCGTAATCCTAGTGCTGATATGTTGCTCCAAGAAAACGAACTTGATTTTGATTTGATTACAAAGGTATGATGCCTCTATAACTGTTGATTAAATAACAGTAAAAACACAGTGAAAATATATATGCAAACAGATAGTACCAATGATCCTCTAGGTATAATAGTTATAGAGTGAGAAATTGCATATATAATGCCGTTTGGAGTTGCGTAGTGATTTTCACTAATTCAAATAAACAAACATTCAAAATGATACTCAATTTTGAACCTTTTTATTATGATAGATCAGTTGATAAGTTTTTCAAGTAATTTCCTTTGCATCTTATATTTTTTCAGCTTTAAGATTCACCATGTTGAGCTCTTATATTTCTCTAAGGCACTGCTTCACTGGAAAGGTGTTGGTTCTTGTATAATTGCTGTATAGTCCCCATTGTTTTTACCAATTTTGTTTCTTTTATCGTAACTTCTGGTTTATGTGGTTCGAATTATATATCTTCATCAATTGGCAGGCAACCATTTTTCATTATGGTTCTATAATACTGAACCATGCAAGTCAGCTCACGTTGCTGCAGCAAAAGCCGCAAAAGATGCAGGTGTTGTTCTGTCCTATGATCCCAACCTTAGGCTGCCATTGTGGCTCTCTGCAGAGAGTGCCAGGGAAGGAATTATGAGCGTTTGGGATACTGCCGATATTATCAAGGTAATGATCTTATAAAGCAGATGATTTAAAGAGACGTAGAGTGCAATGCACAAAGTAAACGGAGAGTACTGTATCTATATCGATGGTCTCCATTAATGAGTGAATTTCAGATAAGCGAAGAAGAGATTTCTTTTTTAACACAAGAGAAGATCCATATGATGATGATGCTGTTCGTAAATTATTCCAACCAAATCTGAAATTGCTTATAGTTACGGAGGGCCCGCAAGGTTGCCGTTATTACACTAAGGTAAATTCTCTAGATATGTTTCTATGACATTTTTTCCCCTTTCTGAGTGCGAGTTATCTGGATGTCTGGACTGTTCAGAGCAGTGATGACTGGAGTTGCCCCTGTGGATGAAAAATAAGAATGGGGTAGGAATTGCTTAAAACATGCTTCATATCCATTCCTATTTTAGATTCTTGCTTTTCAGAGTGGACAAAAACAAGTAGATCTTTTAGTTTGATGTCAAAGATGACTACCCTATACATGCTTGGATATCTTTAGTCCGATGTTGCTGAGTCTTGGAACTTTGTGCACAATGAAAATGAGTTTGATGATCAAGTGCTCTTCATCTGATAATTTAATCTCTTACAAAGAGATTTAGTCATTTCGTTAGTCTCAACGAATACTTGTTCCTACGGTTTCCCGAATCTCGTTCTGAAGCTTAAACGACACGATAACTATAATAAGAAATGAATCACATTTTCCAGGAATTCAGTGGGAGAGTCAAGGGCTTGGTGAAGCTGTAGACACCACTGGTGCCGGGGATGCTTTTGTAGCTGGAATATTATCACAACTAGCTTCTGATCTTTCCTTGCTTCAGGTATCGGCCTTTTAATTTTCAGATAGTTCCGTTTTATTTCCATTCATATTTTTCCTGAAAGATTCATGAGTCGAGTATAGGCATTGTGAACAAGAATTCTTTCATTCTCTCCTCAAGAATGCAGTACAAAATGTTCAATCAAGTCGTAAGGGACCGTGTAATCTTGCAGGATGAGGATCGATTGAGGGATGCTCTGTTGTTTTCTAATGCTTGCGGTGCATTGACCGTGACAGAAAGGGGTGCGATTCCTGCCTTGCCAACTAGAGAAGCTGTTTGTGATGCTATTATAAAAAATGTAGCATAAGTTTTCTTCCCAGACTCTGTAATTAGGTGACTTGAAAGTTCCGTGCCTACATCTCTATCAACGACCAGGAGGCATGAAACGATCCGCATATGCCCTGGTAATATTTTATCCTCACCGTTACCTTCATCGATGTACTTATAGCTGTTCCGATCTTCCATATGATGAAAAGTCTCATAATAATGGAAAGCCTCCTGCCTTTTAATTTTGAGTTCTCTCTTTCCCAGTATGTATTGTATGTATGATGCTTTAAATCCGTTTATTGAGTGGAGGACCCACTGGTTTTTCTGCTCTCTACACTGAAGGATACATCAAATTCCTTGAATCCTTCACACTTGAGCTTTAGCGGTGAATAAAATTTTAATTTCATATTTTTAATCGAAATCGAATAAATTTATTTTATTTAGCTTTTTTCAAATTATTTGACTTTTCTTGATTTGAGAAAATTAAAATTGAATTTTGATGGCAAAATAAGGTTTATCAACTCGATTATCTTAAAATTTTTTTTACTCGATTTGATCGGATACTTGACCTTAATTTTGTTTTGAATTTGAATGCTTAAATCGAGTTAAAAGTTTGAATAAATCTATTATCCGTAATTTTTTTCTCTAGAATTAAGGTATGAATTTGGAATCATATATTGAATATTTGTGTATATAAAAATTAAAACTGAAATTTGCTGATGATAAAGGTTTTAATCCTTATAAAATAGATAATAAATATAAAGTAATGTAAATATAAATAATAAATATATAAAAAAAGAATCTATTTACATGTACTTTAATTAAATAGTAATTTTAACACACCAAACCATAGAAAACAGAAATATCAAAATTATAGTTTGAGCCGATCTTGTTTCATTACAGTATCGACTGTAGTTGTTTTTTGAATGGTTTGAAATAATTATAAGATAATATTTCTTTAAAAATCGATCGTAGTTCTTTAATAATGTGAAAATTTTGTATATTTTATATACCATACCAAACGAGAGGTGAAATAGTGTAGCATGCTCAATTTAACAAATATAATATATTCAATGAAGTGTTTATCTTTTATTTAAGAATAGAATACTTTTCTTTTTATGTAAAATTTTAACTAATTTAATTAAATAAAATCTTCATTTAAAATATTCTTAATCACATACAATTATTTTGGATATAATATTAATATGATAACTATAAGAAGATATAAAATGTTTGATATCTTGACCCACCCAACAATTTATGTTGTATTTAATTGACTGGGTCTCTTGGTTAAATTTTATCCTTCCATAATTACCTAAGATCTAGACACGTCTTCCATATTTTACCTTTAATTCAGTAAAAACTGTTGGATGTTACCAACACTTTTACAGGTGATCCGTTCATAGTGCAAGATTCCCCGTTTCCTTTAAGAACACCCCGACTTTTACTTTTGCATGTTAAAAATTCATCGTTTAAAAAACCAAGGGTAGAAAATCAATGGATGGTGAAGAGAAGGCTAGCTTCGATTACATCTGCAAACGGGGACGGCAGAATATCGGCATCGGAGCTGGGAGATGCATTGCAGATGTTCGGGTGCGTCACGGAGGAAGAAGTTAGGTCGATGATGTCGGAGATCGATACCAACGGAGATGGGTACATTTCTCGTGAGGAGTACATTGATTTCACAGCTGCCAACCGTGGGCTAAAGAAAGATCTGGCTAAAATATTTTAATTCCTTATTTCTTTTGGCTTTCAATCCCCAACTGATTCTCATTTTGTTCGATTGATAGAAGTTGTTGGTAGTTAAATTGTGAACCGTGTTTTAATTAATTTGGATTTAGTAGGTTCATGAAACGGGTTTTAAATCCTAATCTTAACATTTATAATTAATTGTATTGTACGAGACAGCTATATCACATTGATGTAAATTGTTTCCGTGATTTACTTAAAATAATCTTTTAGCTGATTCATGTGGATTATATTCAAAACACAGGGTTTGGAATTCATGGTATAAGTACACCAAACAGTGCTCCTAAAACCATGGAATGGCTCTTATTTTTCCCAAGGGCCAGCTTTGCATCTTCCCTAGACCATCAAACAAAACATGTGGAGAAGGATTTGCATTGGGTTCCCAAAAGATTTTTACACATTAATAATGGATACAATTAGATTAACCTTCTTCCATCTCATTTACCGCAATAAATGCACCATATGTTTCTGTTTTATTCCAATAATTAAAAGTTCCCTTAATTAGCGTTAGCCTTATAGTTGATGTTCATAAACCCTTTAAGTTTCTTTCTCTATCCTTTTTAAACAAGCTTATAAACATAAATAAACGAGTCGATAAACGAATTTATTTGTGAATATAAATAAACTGAACACACCTATTTCTTCATTTATTTATTAAACGCACATAAAAAATTTGTTCTTTATTTAGTTTAATAAATGAACATTATACAAATGGTTTACTAACAACTAATTGAATGTTCTGCTCATTTACACCCCTAGATACTCTAACCAAATCTATGCCAAATAATCAATGAAAGTGTCAAGTGCTAGGAATTGCCAATGGTTCCTTCCATGATTGACATACAAGGCAGCATGAACAATGAAAACAGTAGAAAACTCACATGCACAAGTAGAAGGAAAGAACGTAGGAAGCAGCGTCAAGCTTCTCTTCATACAGTGTGTGAAGTTAACTGCATAACAAAATATGGGAATCTGAGAGACGTGGGGATGGAGAAAAATCCGCCGACCGTTATGCTGCTTTCACCATTCTTTTCACTCTCTCTCTCTCATTGTATTCCTTTAATCTTCTTCGATCAACCCTCCGCCAGCTAACTATCACTATGCATATATATATATATATATATATATATTCAATTGCTAGTTCATTACATCTATGCAATAGCTCCAATATTTTAATATGCAGGTTTCTTGTTCCGATAAGGAAACAAATAAACAAATATTTTCAATCCCATCTTTAGTTGTAATTTAATATTTAGTCTATAGTTTCAATCTCTACATATATATATAGGGCTTGTAGGGAAGCATTCTTTCATGTTCAACCTCATTTTTTCACTCTCTTAATGGCACTTGCCAAGGACCCTATCTGCTCACTTCAATCCTCTGAGCCTTACAAATTTGATGACAGAGTTGACTTGGAAAAGCCTGGTGTGATTGTCAAGAACTTTCCGATGACTAGTTCTTCGTCGTTTTCGTCTCCGGGCAGTGGCGATTCCGACGGTTTCATGTTCCAGCCTCCCGAAGAAGTTCATTCTTTGATAAACTTCAAAGGTTCAGTGTATGATGGATACGTTCATGGGACTACTTATGGATCTCTGCTTAGCTTTGAGCAAAATGAGAAGGCTCTGCAAAGTACTTACTTGAACGCCAATGGTCATAAAGAAGATTACTCCATGAGGGAAGGCAGTTTGAATCAGAATTACGAATGGAATCCGATGAATACAAAGAGCGGTGTCGACCCTCGCTCGGTGGGAGATTTCAGCTGCTTTGAAACTGCTAGCAATTTTAGTTCCATAACAAAAGAAAACAATGGAGATTGGTTGTACTCTGAGGTAGCAGTGGTTGCTGATAGCATCACCGAATTACGATCACCCGACTCAGCTGGCGTCAAGCGTCCGAATACGGTACCGTCCTTTTCCGTTCAATCCTAGTAGTAATTAACAGTCAATCCATATAACATAGCCACTGATTTTAATGCTGATGTAATTGGAGTTCTATAGGGAGACGGTAATCAAGCTTTGAAGAAACAATGCAGCAAAGAAGCTAAGAAGGCGAAAACCAAGTCCGGTCCATCAAAGGACCCCCAGAGTATTGCAGCCAAGGTTTGTTCATTTGCATCTTTAAGTAAACTTGATTCAATTTCGACTGCGAACTAAAGCAAAATCAAGGATGAAAATTTAACATGGAGAGATTGTTTCAAATTTCAATATCCAGAATCGACGTGAGAGGATCAGTGAGCGGTTGAAGATACTACAAGAACTGGTACCTAATGGCTCCAAGGTAAGCAAATTATTACTACTGAAACCGATATTTTGCGTTTATGGTAAAAGGTGGAAATGATATGTATGTTAATGTTGATTTCACAGGTTGATCTGGTTACCATGCTGGAGAAAGCAATTAGCTATGTGAAATTTCTTCAGTTGCAAGTGAAGGTGTTGGCAACAGATGAATTTTGGCCAGTTGAAGGGGGGAAAGCTCCTGATATTTCTCAAGTTAGGGAAGCCATTGATGCTATACTCTCATCTCAGAAAGACAGGAATTCATGCTCTAAGTAATGGGTTGAACGTTGAAGACACTTAAATTTTAGAAAAATGTTAGTATAATTCAAGAACAACACCCAAGCGTTGAAAAGCCTGTTTGGATGTTGATGGTGATTTAATCATAAAAAAGTAACAAAAAAGGACAATCTGAGTAGATAGCAAAGTATTCCTATTCCTTTTCTCTTGAAGACCTTGTAATAGATATTTCTTCTTTTCTTTAACTAATTTCAACTACGATTCCCAACTTAATCTTAGTTTCATTTCTTTATCTACTTTTGTTTTTATTTCCTTCACATGTCAGCCATATTAAATCTTAGATCTAAATAAATCTGACAAATTCAGTATTGGGTTTTCTGTCATTATTACAATGAGCAATTATATATATATATATTTATTTGGACATTACAAGTTATTAAAATGATGTCAACAGTAAATGTATTTTCAAAATAAATTGATGTCAACAGTAAATGTATTTTCAAAATAAATTGATGTTATAATTTGTGATTTATTAAGTTTAATTTAGTTAATATTATTTTTTGCGTGACATATATGAAGATGTATGATTAATTAATGATCAAGTTGATCGAAGAAACATTACAAACACATGATTTCATAATATAATTTAACTTCCATATATGATGATCGAGAAAACATCACGATCACTCTATATTTTATTGTGAATTAAACAATTATGCATTGTCATATCTCAAATTTTAATTTAAAAAATATATAATTTATTTAATTTAAACAAGCGACCAAAATTGATAATTCTGAAGATTTTTGGGACAATTTCAAATATATAGGAAGTTCTGGGATTTGACCCTAAATTTACCCTTTGTTGGTCAATAGAAAAAAATATAGGTTAATTAGTGGTTGAATTGGTTTGAACCTATGACCTACCTAAGGGATAACCATAAATGCCTTAGCCACATAGCCTAGGTCACTAATGATGTTTAATTTAATAAAAATATACTTTATGGTTTAGGTTAAAAAAATACCCAAAAACCAAAATCATCATTGACTCCAAATCGGCCACCGTTCGTCGTGAAGAAGGAGAAACTCGTTGATACAAAAACCATTCCCGTCACCCCATCGTCGACCAACCGTCTTCGTCCAGCAGTGGAGTGCATCGCCACTGTCAACCGAGCTGGCGTCGTTCCTCGTCCAAACTTTAATCATCATCGACTCCAAATCGGCCACCGTTCGTCGCGAAGAAGGAGAAACTCGTTTGGCTCCTCAATCGTCGATCTCGGCTGTCACTTGTCGATGAGAGACATCGCCGACACCTATAGAAGTGACGCCTCGCTCCGATCCAAGCACAGCCGGTCATTCATTGAAATACCTAGTCGTTCGTCGGGAGAAACGTTTGAAGGCTCTTCAAAAAACCAAAGGTTTTCTTTGTTGTTCGTCGCATTTCAAACTGATACAGTTAGCGTTTCGCCTCACGCCTACCATCGTTGTGCTCCCTAGGTGGTTTCGACCAAAACTCGGTTGGGGATCATTGCCTCATTGTTCACTGTGGGTAATCTTCCGATCGCTTTATTTGATTATTTTCATTGTGTTTTGGATTGATAATATGTTGATTTGGGTCGTTTTTGTGTTTGGTTGCTCGTGAAATGTTCGGTCAACTCGAACTGACCCGAGTTAACCCGAACCGGTCTAACCCGTTGACTTTGAGATGACCGTTGACCTGCCCGTTGACTGTCGACCAGACTCGTTGTCTTTGACTTTGACCAAAAAGTCAAAATTTTCTGAAAACTCCTATTTTATGTTTTTCGACGTCCTGAGTTCGAATTCGAAGTTCGTTTTACCAAATTCTAACTCGAAAGCCTTCAAATCGACCTTCGAACCCGTAGTTGCATAGTTAATTTAAATAGATTGGTTAAGGAGAATTTTGGAAAGTTCAATGACTGATTTACAACTCTGATTATGATAGTACCCGTGATTCTCCTGACCATTCGATTGCTCGGCCCAACTCCTCTCATTCCGTCCGACCTCTTGAGTCGTCTGTTCTGGTTTGATTTAGGGTGGTGTACTACTTTTGTTCGTAGCGAGACCAATTCTCCAAAGATCTCCCGGACTGATTCTTTTTACGAGGTGTGTTCCTTGTGTGCTACATATGTATCAGTTTTAAATACCTGTTTGAAATATCATGTGTACATGACTATTTTACTTGATTTGCAATATTGCTAGCTGGTCTGATTTAATTTCCCATGATTTATATGTTCAAGCCTGATTTCTTATTTACTGAAGTTTTAAGCTTTCTCGTCTGATTCATGTTCTCTAGTTACTGTTTTTACTGAATTGATATATGTTGGAACTCTGATTTTCTTGCTACTGTTAGGTACTGTTTGAAAACTACTCTTTTCAGATTACTCTGGAATCTAGTATGAAGTCTCTGTAGGTTCAACTCCGATCAAACTGGTAATTCCTCATACATGTTCAGCACCGATCAAGCTGGTAATTCCTTATGGACCTAAGGTGACTCTTAGGTGGGCTTCTAGGCCCAATGGGCCTAGTGGTAAGACCTTATGGACCCTAAGGTACTTTTTTAGGGTGACTCCTCTATTATGTGCATTAGGTAAGTCCTTATGGGCCTGAGGGCGCACCCTCATGTAGGCACCTATGCTTCAACTAGGATAAGACCTTATGGACCCAAAGTACTCCCTTAGGTTGGCACCTACGCCCTTTGGGCCTAAGTCCCTACATGATGTACATTTAGAGGGTTGTTCTGTATTTTAAACTACAACTCTAGTATCATTTTCCCTTAATTGTATGTTTTTAGTTTGCACTGCTGGAACACACTGAGCTCCCTAGCTCACTCCCCCAAACTTTTCCCTGTTAGATACTATTTGATAGGCAACCCGAACTTGACACTTAGAGGATCGACACATTCGTACAATATTATTTTGTTGTAATGTATTTTATCTTCCGAGTTGCATTTATTTTGGGTGACATGTGCTTCTATTTCGAAAATACTCGTTTTACGACGTATGTTGCTTCTGCTACCGATGTTAGATTTGTTTTGATACTGATTATGGAATATTTTATTTTACTTAGTCCTTACGACTTTAATTTACTGGAATTGAACTTTAATGTTATCATTTAAATATGTTTATTCGTAATATGGTTTTAAACTATTGAAAAATATTTTGGAAAAATTTTATCGTAATCTGCTAGATCTGTTCGTAATGCATTGACCGGGTCTAGAGGGTTACATGCATTATGTGAAATTATCTGAATTTGCGATATTAATAAGCACAATGATCAACGAGTAAATAGTCTGATTTAAGCACGAGATTATTTTAATGATATAATTTATCATAACTTATGAACACGATATGACTTGTATATTGTTCATCTATAATTATGAATATGCTAAGGTAGCAACTAGCCTATCAGGTGGGTTCAACTTATGAATTCTACTCCATAAATCATGTTAAGTGTTTGAAATTGTGTCATTACTCTATGTAGTATAGTAGAATAGTTGCATATTATTGAGCTTAATAAATTTCTTCGTTTGAAATTATATTTTCGGTGCATAAGTTACTATATATATTTTGTGTGAGTATACATATAAATTTCAGAAACAATTGATTCAAAGTATAGTCCTATTCATTTCTAGTGGGCATACATGTTTTAGGGAATTTTCATGTGATTTTAGTGTGCAAACTCTTGATTTATACTTCATATTCATTTTTATAATATTAAAACTTTATAACTCCAATTTCATATAAATTATTTTACATTTGCATTTATATTTTCTAACTTATTTATTTAGAAAAATATTTTCAACTTATTTGGTTTATGGTAATTCTTTCGTTTAAATCAAAGGATTTGAAGTTTTAAGATGCATGACACTCTTGATAACTCAAATCATAGAATTTATAAGAAAAGAATAATCAAAGTGAAATAAACTTGAAATAAATTGCACATAAGATATTTAATTTTATCTTTCTCTACAGACGAGAGAAAATTTCATTATAAACATATAAATAACAAATAATTCAAATACACATAATTTTTTTGTCTCAAAACACCTGGTATATTGCAAAAACAAATGTATCACCAAAACTCTTTGAATATCCATACAAAATCCATCTCTTAAATAGAGATCACAAAATGGTTATATCTCTCTAAAGTTTCTTTCATAGTTTGAAGGTTTAAATGCATACTCTATGTTTATAGTGTCAAATACTTGATCATCAAAAAAATCTTATTCCACAAGAATTCTTACCTAAATAAACTTGATTACCAAGTAATCTTAAGCAACTAAATTATACAAAAAATGTAATTTTAATTATCAATTAGGATGTGAATCAATACATAACAATAAATCTTTTATAAGTTATTCATTTGCTTTGCATAGCTTATTAAGCTTTATCTAACCAATCTTTTGGGTTGATTTTCTTTTCAGTCCCTATTAGTTTGAAATTAGGTAAATTGAACTTTAGGTTACTTTACATTTATAACAGTGACACGTGTCAAATAACGGTTGAATTTAATGACTGTTATAGCGTAAATATCTAAAACTGTAACGGAGAAAACGTTATGCACCTATTTTTAATGAAAATTTTTTAGGCACTTAAAGTTAACTTAGGATATAATTTGAGAACTTATTTTTACATTAATTCTTAATTTTTTGATTCAAATACTTTTTAAGTCACTATCAACATTTTTTAAGTTCTAACTCTCATCTCCTTGTTTTTTAAAGTTATTATGTGTTTAAATTTTGAATTGATGACTGAATAAAAGAACCTAACCCCTCATTAAATGTTATTTATATTTGACCCCTAATATTTTATTCTGAATTCATCATGTGTACATGCATCCATGTACTTTGTCATGCATGAAAATCTGAAGAATCTCCTCCATTAATTAACGCTGATGAGCTCTCTTCCAGTTTTCCGAAACAATGGAACCGTAACTCAAAATGAATTTAACAAGGACTAATCACATGCTAATCCCACTTAAATTGGAGCACAGGTCATTAATTAACATTCTACCAAAGGTGCAACTGAAAATCAATACGCAAGATAAACAATGTGGGACTTTTGAACATCTTTTATTGCTCAGCAAATACCTTCAAAAATAAGTGACCAGCTAGCATACAACCCGACAAAATATATAAC